AAACGTATAGTATACCTTTTGCATAGTAGTAAGGTCTAACCTTTGGTATAATTATGTGGCCACAGACTTGGGGTTAACAACTTAACTGCAAAGTAATATTTTCAAGACAATAGGTTAAATAAGCTTACATTTTAAAAAATTGCTTTACTGAATAAAAGAATAATGTAAATTCATTTCCATTGTGTTATAAAGTATTTTTGAAAATTCAACTGTAATGAGGAACCTCTCCGAGAACTAGTGGCTGAACTGAATTATCACCACAATGCCTTATATACCCCATTTCTGTATTCATTGCTGAAAGCCGTACAGGTGAAATTCTGTTCTGAACATTTTCATATAGGAAAAAACCCCACATATAAAGACAAAATAGATTCATTCTCAGAGAAACCAAAAGAATAGTCTGTCTGAAGATTGACTTAAATGGAATGGAAAAGTCCATTTTATATTACATCATTGTATCATTATAAATATATCCCAGAATAAGCAAGGTAGGATGAAATAAGGCTATTTTTTATGCAGCTCCACAGTAAAAATGCATCTCTTAAGCATGGCAAATGCTCCTGTAATTAACAACTGCAATTTCAGGTAGGAAACTGAGTTTTCCCATGACCTAGGTGCAGAAACACTATCTTAATACACAAACTCTTCCTTTCTAGCAGGAAGACTGAAAACAACGCGTAGAAGGATTCAAAGATCTAAAATTACAATATTAGACTATTTTTCCCCCCCCCAGAATCCATTACTGACTGCATTACCAGTACTTAACCATACAAGAAGCAAAACTGTTTTCCTAATGATTTTAATTCTCTAATGTTAAAGTATTTGAGACTAGTTAGTCTACTATAGTTCACTGGCCACACAGTAAAGTACTGTGGTACTTTGTAATAGAAACCTGAAGTTCTATTGACTCTGCAGTTTGAAAAAAACCAAAGAGTATTTTCAGATACTTTTTAATCAAGTAAATGTGGGTAGAGACCAGCGTGTGTAAATATAAGTGTGTTTAAGTTTGTTGTTCTGACTTTGCATAGTGAAGCTTTACAATATTAACAGGAAAAATGCTATGAAATGATTCATATGATCACAATCAAGGAATGTCAAAAACTACGGGGGAAAAAAATGAAATTTAAACCAAACTGCTCATGATTCAATAATAAGGACCAATCTTTAAACACATGAAATGAATCATCCCAGGAATACTGAAACAATCTTACAACTGAAGACAGTAACTGCACAGAGTAGACGTTAAGCAAACGATTTAATGTAATGAGAGCTTTATAAAAGAAAACAGCAGCCACATATATCTTGTGGAAAAAAGAACATGAAGTGTATGAAACAGTTAATACTATGGATGTGTCAACAGTTCCTCAAAATTAACAAGAAGTTTACATTCTGTTAGGGCTTACAAAATACTATTCGTGGTAGTCAAACATAACAAAACAAAAACCAACAGCTGCTTGCCTGATAGATGAATAGATACAAGATACCCAAGCCTGCAGCATTTAGCTTAATACAGAAAATGATCTTACATGCATACATCCCATTAAGTTCTATGAAGAGTTTGTAGTTCTGTATAGAAAAACGGATCTGAAGCAGCAGTTTAGCAGAAAGTGAGGACAGGCACATAAAAGAGAACTTATGCAACACACAAGACTCCCAGACTCTCAAGGGAATTCATAAAGTTTCTGCAAGACGGAGATTTATTGCCCATTTACAAAGAACAAATGGTAATTACAAGACAAATATAATAATTAAACATACAAGCTCTGGAATTGTACAAAGATACTCATTTCTTGTGGTTGAGATGCATTGTTAAAAAAACAGTGCTAGCTGAAGGGACCTTTGCAAAGATGCAATGTAACCTCCCGCAGTTACAAGGGGACGTGACTGAACAAGTAAGACACAGATTCACCGTTGTGTGTTCTTCGAATTGCCTCAGCCAGGATCATGGAAATGTCAATAAACTGAAAGAAAAATCAAGAAGATTTTATGGGATGCCAAGAACAATAAACTATACAGTTTGTAAACACATGAACAAACATTTAATTTACCATTGTGCTCTTACCTCTTCTAGGAAATAAAATAACATTAAAACATTAGGTACTTAACATATACATAAGAACTGCATTAATACAAAGTACAAACTCAAAAATTGAGTAAGAAAGCATTGAATAAGATTGCTGCACAGGCATACTGCTGAAGACTTTTGGCATAGGGCATGTTGTAAAAAAGAAAATATTCTAGCCATCAGATGGCAGTGTCCACTTGACACAAATACAGTTTAAGGGAAGTATACCTTTTAAAGCACTTGCCTTGTTTCAATAAATACCAAATAAATGTTAAGCTTTTTAAAAATTCAAAGTTGCATTAAAAAAACCAATCTTTTATGCTTTCCTCCACTCTGTACTGAGTAAAAACTCCAAAAGGGACACATGACTTCCCAGAACAATCTCACGTAAAAGCTACTGACATAAGTCAGCTTTCTATTTTCAGTTTGGTTTTTGAAAAGAAACATGTCATTGTTATCTTGAGTGTTTTCATTAGTGTATTTTCAAAGGAAAAAAAGTCATCCAAGGTTTCTGTGGCATCTACAATAACATAACTAACTTAAGTTCCTACACACAAATATTATATGATTAATATTGATAAAAAACCCCAGCCAATTTTACATTTGCCACTCTTCCACAGTCACACATACTCAAATCTGTTGCAAATACCAAGTATGTTGCAATACTCTATTATACTACCTGAATCCCCTTAGAACAGTTCTTTGGCATGTTTTAGCAGGATGTTCTGCAAATAACAAAGCTGCACAATGTATTTTAGAATATTATTTTCCTCTCAAGGCACAAATTCTAGCATCAATGAACAGTAAAATACAAATCCGGAGTTTAAACAGATGACACAAAAACACCGCTGTACCTGAATTTTTGGGCAGTGTTTCATTTTCTCTTCTTGGGGGATTGTATTAGTTACCACAACAGCCTCAAATGATGCATTATTAATCCGAGAAATAGCAGGACCAGAAAAGATGCCATGAGTAAGAATGGCATAAACTTTAGTAGCTCCAGCAGATACTAACCTGTAGAACATGAAGGAAAAGTATGCTGTGATGCATGTTTATACACATGGCTATAGATGAAGCCAGATACAAATCTCTGTAAAATACATTGTACACACAAATGCCTCCTGGAAGTTACAGGAAAATACAAATATCTACAAAATAATTCAGAGAATTTTGAACTTTTTCAGGTTATACAAGTAAGTCTCAAAAAAACCCAAAACGGCTAATTAAATAAAAAAGTTCTTATCAGTAGCAGTGATACGAATTTAAAATGTGCACTTTTGACTGTATCAGCACAACATACAACTGAATTCCAGTACAAGTTTTCTATCTTAATCAGGCAAAAATGGAATAGGTTGGACGGCAGTATTCACAACTCTATTGTGCCTCCATTATTGTCCACCTTTATTTTCATTTGCAATTCAAACAATTCTGCTTGGAAAGAGTTTGAGGAAGAAGGAACATTAATGATTAAAAGCCTAGCTTACTGCAAGGCTGTAGGAAGACATGCTGCCACGCACACAGTGAAGTGATGCAGCACAGGAGAAAAAAAAAAAGTGTAAGTCAAGGAACTAGTAAAACACTTTGTGAATGGGTCAGAATCTCTTACTTTGGTTTTGACTGGCCTCTCTACCTCCAGATGCTCAGCTATGTCCTAGCTGCTTTTCTAGTCTTACAAATGGAGGCCCTGAAGAGTGGTATTTTATCAGATCATAGCATAAGCACAGTAAGATAGGAAAGAAGACAAAAACACAGAATCATCATCTCATTTTGAATGACTCAACAGAATCAAAGTTTTCTGGTCATTCTCAGCATTACATTTAGTAGCTGCAACCTACAAGGAGGATGCACTACGACAGGGTGAGTGTGTACCAAGGGTGTGTACTTAAGCAAGTTTATCTGCTGCATCTGAAAAAACATTTCTTAGTTGATCTGCCTGATATGCATCTACGTTGCTGAGATAAAAAGAGGTCTAAGAAGTATTTTGGTGAGCAAGTCTAAACACAAAGTACATCTCATCTAGATTTGGCACTGATGAAAAGCACTACTTCATGCCAAGAACATGATGTAAGGCAGCATCACTCAAGCAAAACCATCTTTCTTGGTGAACGCTGCAGATACCATCAGAAACCTTCAATGTTTTAGAATTTGCTCTATAGAAATCTACTGTAGGTAAATAAAGAAGTGCTTCTTTCATAACAGAAAAGAAGTAAAGGCCTCCTTTTTGACAGCAATTAACTTCCTCTGTGCACAGGAGTATGAACTGAAAAATGCACTAGATGGCCCAAGTCCCTTCCAAGTTATATGACTTTTTATTTATTCTGTCCTCTTGCTAAATACAGATAACATATTTCTGTAAATATTTTCTCAATTCCATGTTCTAAAGAAGGACACAGCTTGATCACAGGACTGTGACTTATAGACTCAAGGATGAGGGTGACTTCATGCTACAGAGGTCAGGCTGGGTTATAAGCATACAGGACAGCAACTGCGTTCATCAGCTATCTGCAGGTTACAGTACAGCAAGACAGTGGGCCAGTTCATAATACTACTTACTTGTCTGCTGCATGACATATTGTGCCACATGTGTCAGCCATATCATCGACAAGAATTGCTACTCTGTCTTTCACGTCACCAACCAAGACCATTCTGTCCACTTCATTTGCCTTCTTTCTTTCCTTATGAATGAGAGCAAATTCCACATTCAGTCTGTCAGCAATTGAAGTAACCCTAAGTTACAGGAAGAAATACACCACATTCAGAGAACTATTTTAAAAGAAAGAACAGAGCCATACATGTGTATTTGTCATAAAGCCCAGTTTCTACGTTTCCTGGGTTTCAAATTACCGCAGCACAAACTTTTGCAAGTAATGAGACAGGTTAGAAACAATCTTAATTCACTGCTAATAAACACAACCAGAGAGTCTTAAGCTATACTCCAGAAATCAATTTTTTTATTGAATTGACTTCAGTTTTCTGTCATTAAATGCCTGGCTTTGAAAACATTTCAGCTATTCACAAGCTTTTATTAAGCTGATGCAATACCTAGTCACACTAGATAATTTAAAGTAGAGGTAGCCTCAATTCTAAGCCTACAGCAGCGTGCACTTCAACATCCTAACTGAAAATACCATTGCAGGAATGCGAAACCAAACCAAAGGGAAAAAAACAAACAAGTTAATAGGGAAAAAACCAAACAAGTAAATTAATAGTGATTAACAATTCTTTTAGCAGTACTTGACTAGCAATCAACATCTGGTTGACAAAGACCTTTTAAAACTATTCAGGGTGACCTTTGGTGGCCAAACCTCCTGTAACAAACAATTTGTTACAGACTTCTGATTGCTTTTTTCAGGTTTTTTAATATACCAGAGCTGGTAGGTATAAAGACACAGGAATAAACAATACTATGCTTTTTCTATGCTGGTGCAACCTTGCAGCCTGTCTTTTTAGAATATGTTTAGAATGTTGTTAACAAGGTTATTAACATGCACAGTTAATAGAGAATACAGTTTGTTTCTTTACCACTTAAATATGAAGGAGCTGTTAGTTACTGTATTTCAACAACTGGGTGATAAACAAAAAAACCAAATGTTTTGGCATTTTTTGTGAACAATAGTGTAATTCCATAGCAAGTCTCAATACCTCAGAGGCATTAAGGTATCAATAGAATTTGCAAGCCTTATTTCAGTCACAAAATTTAATAAGCTGGGAAAAAAACAAGCAAATGGTAAGAAACAAAAAAGAATTCAGACATTTTAAATGAGTGCAAGAACATGTTTTGTTTTGTTTAATTTCTTTAACGCTTACAGATTGAAATTTTAAGACAAACTTTCTTCACATTCTATTAACTTTTCATTAACCCAAGTGTTATTTTGAAGGTCTACATGTTTTAAACACAAAGGCCAATTCTTTACATTACATTACATTACTGGAGGTGAAGGAGAAGCTGTGAATTTATTGAAAGCAACATCTTCCCCTACTTCACCAGCAACTGCTTGGTTGCATTACAACAGAAAGGTACCAAAGATAGACTCTATCTATCTATGTTAAATACAGTGAGAGTGGTCCTCAAAAAAATAAACTCTTATGATCAACTTGATAATACACTAATATTTGTTAGGGGAAAAAAATGCTGTCTTCTGACTTGAATTCTAAGCAAAGGCTGTATTTTGTTTAAAAAAAAAACCACAAACAAAAAACAACTGAAAACAACAGTATCCAGATAGGAACAAACAAAGAAATTTAATTGACTGAGTCATCTGAATTTTAGAATGCTTTCTATAGTTCATATCCTTCACATCTTCAACTTGATTAATCTAAACAGGAACAATTATGGAGTTCTGATCAGTCTTATTTCCCTATTAATTATTAGAACATGAACACTCACAACAGACCCAAGGACTTCAATTAAAATCAAATTATGACAGTCTCTCACATTTTTCCTAATTGACTGAGTCATCTGAATTTTAGAATGCTTTCTATAGTTCATATCCTTCACATCTTCAACTTGATTAATCTAAACAGGAACAATTATGGAGTTCTGATCAGTCTTATTTCCCTATTAATTATTAGAACATGAACACTCACAACAGACCCAAGGACTTCAATTAAAATCAAATTATGACAGTCTCTCACATTTTTCCCCATACTACATTCCAAACATTTAAGTTACTATGGGCTTACATAGTAAGAAGGATTCTTACTTCATTTGTCATTGTTCCCATTCAGTTTTGTGGCAGCAGCACAACCAATAAAACTTGAGAATAAGCATTTTGCCTCAATGGCATGCTTTATCACCTCACCAGCCAGCACGCTTCTGAGCTTTTGCATTAGTTTATACTCAATAGATAATAAACAAAAGGTAGTCTGCTAAACGAGTAACGCATGCTGCGAATGAAGAAACTCTCCAGCGAACTAACTTTTCAGCTTTTGGCACTCAAAACAAAACTTCACTCCCTTTTTCTAGTATTCACAGTGCACAACTTGGGGTCAATAGGTTTACAGCTGGAATGCAATAACATAAAGAAAAAAGAAACACAACTCAAGCAAGCTCTTACCTAAATGCCAGCAGGTACAGTGGGGATAGGCCATATGCTTTGACAGAGAAGGGAAACTTAGGCAATTCCAGAGCGAAGCAGGAAGAGGTGCAGCAACTGGACTAAAGAAGCAAGCAGCAGGAAAAATCTCTTCCCTCCTGCGGAGGGATTCAGCTAATGAGGCCATATCCAGGGAGAGAAAAAAAGATTTTTCTTTAGAGTACAGAAAGCTCCTGGATGTTTTCAAGCATGAACAACATTGGAAGAACTAGTTGTTCTGTTTTTACAATGCAGTTGGATTCATCAGTGATGTACCCTGTATCTTGCACAATTCATAGAGGAAAAAAGACAACTAGACAAACTAGTTCATTAACCACTAACTATATGGAAAACTCATAGTTTTAGGCTTGTATAGTACCTTTTTGCACCACCTGCATCAGGTGAGACTATGATACAGTTTCTCCACTCCAAAATGTTCTCTTTAATCCACTGCAGCACTGCAGGTTCTGCATACAGGTTATCTACTGGAATGTCAAAGAAACCCTAGTCCAAAAGAGAAAGAGAGTTTCATGAATATACGTTTATGTCTTACCTGGAACAAAGACACAGGGAAAGAATCAAGCCTTTGCCTTTCATGTATGGTAGAACTTCAATTAGTATTTGACACCGGCCTAATTCTGCCCTCTGATATTACTGTCAAATGCAGCAGAAATTAGACAAATATTAAGGTCTCTAAAAATCTCACCCAAGAGTAGTGAAATAAAGAACAGCTGTTCTCAAATGATATAAAAATCAAAGATCACCACCTTCAGGCACTCAACTAAATTCATGCTTGCGAAAAGCTCTCAAAAAATCCAGTAATACTCAACTTCCACAAATTTCAACTGCTTGACATGAACAGGAGTATTTAGTATGGGGAAGATTCAAGTTAGTATTACTTGAGCAGCAGCAAAGGAATCTTTCTTTTTGTGCAAGTTGTAACGACAAGAAGTCTGTGTTAGACCACAAATGAAACTGCTTTTTATTTGCATGACAGCCATCTAGCATAATAGGAAATTCTGATTAAACAGAATACCAGAACTGGAAGGGAAGGTATTTTCTACAAAAAACAAGGTATCTTGAAAAGAGGTACACCTGAAAATGACAAATGATGTCTGCTCTGTGTCTGAGGAAAGAGTTGTGATTTGCTGGATTCAGCAGTAAGCCAGCTAAAGGTTGCCAGCCTCCATCTCCCCTTCTCTTAAGAGAATATTGTCCCTTTGGCTGTAACAACAACACTTTATCTAGGGCAATACTACAATCTCTGACCAGGCCAAGATTAAGCGAACTTGCCCCAAACCAGTGTATTTTATGTTCTGGGAGCTCTTACACTAGACTTGGCAAAGTCCACCGAAGACTCCAATGCACAAGTATTCGAAGTCCCTGCAAAATCACCCCATAAAAATCAAGGCTGGTCTCTTTCAAAAAGGGAATTTAATTAGAAACAGGTAGTGAGACTTTCTCTGAACCCTGAGAATTACACTTCTGTACATAGCCTTTCAAAACACTGAGAAAAAACAGAATTAATATTAGCCTTTCACATTAATTCAGTAGAGCCCCTAGCCACAGTTAGTAAGAACTGATAGTTACCTGGATCTGAGAAGCATGCAAGTCCATGGTGATGATGTGGTCAGCCCCTGCAACTGACAGCATGTTGGCAACAAGTTTTGCAGAGATTGGAGCACGACTCTGAGGAATAAAGCACAAGTGTTTAAATTTAAAAAAAAGACTTCAACTAGATGCAAGGAGTCAGAAAATTAGCTGCTTTTATTGATTTTTCCTTCAGAATATTTGGAATCTAGATATGAAGAGCTCCAGAACTCTAGCCAAACTAGCCTGTCAATAGCTAATCTTGCTACTAGGGTTTTGAAACTCAGCAAAACATTTCGGAATATCTAAATCAGCTTGCACAGTCTGCCTAATAATGCTTTGTAGTAATTAGACTGACCAGCAAGCAGATAAAATTGGGGAATATAATTTTCCAATTCTTCTGTTTAAAACTTTCAGCTAGCTTTTCTATAGCAGAAAAGCAGACAATTTCCATTTCTCTAAGCCACTATCCTACATTAACATCCAACTCTCAAGCAACTATCCTGTTCTAAAAAGCATTGCCAAAATTGAAAATTGAAGGCAGAGTGAACCCAACTTTTGAAAACACTGCTTTAAAACAAAGGTAGTATCAAGCATTTCTTCATGATACAGTAAAGCTTGTAACAGATACATGTTGGCCGGCGTTTTCTACCCCGGCCTATTTATTTATTCTTTTCTACTAATTCAGGTGTGAAAAAAAAAAACAACAGAGAAGTGGAAAGAACAAAAGAAGAGCAAAAATCTAATTAGCAAAGTTAATGCCAATGTCAAGAGCTTTTTAAAAGCAACAAGGATGCAGAGCAAACAGCAACACAAAAAAGAGAATACAGAAAATCATGACTGGAGGATACCTCACTTTTTTTTTTAGCAACTCCAAAGTTTTTTCAGATTGTTTTAAGCTCTGAAAAAAGCTATGTTGCCCTAGACAGCTTTCTCTGTAACAGAAATACTAAACAAAACCTCCTGTTTTCTCTTTGCCAATCTTTAAATAAGGCTAATGCTGGAAATAACATTAGCATGAAGGCAGAACTGCAATTCAGAGGTTCTATCTCTCTGTCAGACTGTTTTTTGCTGGCACAGTATTCCCTCCTGCTACATCTCTTTATCAAACAGCCTCATTTAGCCTCCTAGGAACCCCCTCTCCCTCCACCCCACATACACAATTACAGAGTATCTCTGCTCTCCTTCCGCTGATGCTCAAGGGCATAACATAAAATAAGCTGAACCGCTGTCAATTTAACATGGATGCTTTTCTGTCTGCGTCATATCAAGGAGCCAGTATTTTCCTCAAAACTTTTGCCAATTTAGGTGGAAACTCGGCATTTCTCTGTTTTAACCTGCAGATTGCCAACATACTTCCAGAAAAGAAACTGAGATATTGTAGTCTTTCTTATGGCTGGATCAAGTTTATCATCATCATTACAGAAATTCTTCGTTTTGAAAACTATCCCGTTTGGTTTTTGTGTTTCACAGAACTTCACCACCATTTGGTGTGTGTAAGATACACAGAAGATATATGCAACAGCTAGCACTTCCCTAGATCTCTGCAATTCAGACGCATACAGCTTCCATGAGAGTTTGCTATCACTAACGCTTCAGCACGGATGATCTTCCAGTTGCTGAGGACTATGCTGCTCCTCATTTAGGTTCAGTTCTGTAAGGTCCAAGTCAGCCAAAGCTTTCTAGATATTTCTTTTATTAGTAGTGAACTTTTGGTTCATGCTATTCAAATTCCTGATCACTTCAGCTCACCTTAGTAGTACAAACTGACATTTTTAAGCTGGGCTTCAAAATATTCTCAAATCTCTGGCAACAACTAATAAAGATTTAGTTTCTACTCTTTTGACTCTACCACAATGTTCTCTTATCAGCTCTTTGCAAAGATCTGGTTTGATGCTACAGCTAAGCTGGACTAACAGGTGATGCTGAAACCAGAGGTTTGCTCCCCTGCTTGTCCCATCCCTTCTTCCCAGGCTACACACTGCCACCACTTCCCTTGTGCTGCACACCCGGACTTGTCTGAACCCACAGCAGCCAGATGAGGCAGCTCAAATGGAAGAGAAGGGAAAAGAAGATGGCAAACCAGGACCACCCCCCTCTGGTACAAACAAGTAAGTAGTTCAGGCTAACTGCTAAAGGGAAATTACGTTCTTCCCAGAATGTGGTTTGCCATTTCCACTCCATCCGGCACACTGAATTTTGCTTTTATTTTTTTTCCATTTCTGTTCAATGTGAATACCACCTAGCTTGTCTCATGTATCAATATCGTGAGTATCACCATCACAAAAAAACCCAAAATACTTTCCTGCATCAAATACTAATGTATACGTTACCAGTTGGTACTTCTTTCAGCTGCTGGCCTTGCAGGCTGCCTTCCCAGAAAGAACTTGAAGATTTTACCACTAGGTAACTTGTTTTAGCAGACATGCACACATCACAGATTGCCTACATGTTGGTGGACAGAGGGTCTTGGAAGGAAAGATAGCCAGACACCAATACCTGTTTCTCAAGAATGGGCTAATACGAGATTAAGACAAATGAAGTTTGCAGCTATCTGACAGTTTCCTTTACACAAAATTGTGCATTAAAAGAAAACACACATGACGTGTTCAAAAGGATTTAAGATTTGATTGCTTGCATAGAAAATAACTTTTATGCTACAATATGATCCAAATTGAAGATTATTTTAAAATCAAAGGAAGTATATTCATGGGAACCTCAGATAACCTGGCCTCATTATTCAGAAACTTGGATGACAAACGTAGATGAGAACTCAAGATTTTCTTTAGCTTGGAGTTTGTAAGGTTTGCTTCTGATCAGAGAGGCAAGAACACAAAGAGATTCACAGTATTCATTGTTCCATTCTTTGACACAATTTGAGATTAGTTTCAGAATTACTAGTGTGAAACACAACATTATATTATGTACATAAACTAAATTGTAAAAAAAACCACTGAGTTTTTAGTTCCTAAGCAAATTCCCCACTTATGTATAACAAGTTATAGAAATTATTTCTTCCTTTGTGATGCATTACAAATTTATTTACAATTCTTCAAATTACCAGGGGCGGGGGGGAATCCACAAAGCTAATATAAACAACCTCACAAGAGTAACTATTCAAAGGACACACAGCTGAAAGTAAAAGCTGTCCATCAAGATTAAAGCTCTATTGCCTTTAAGCATCTTATTACATTGTCTTGCTCAAAATGCATCACATGCATACTGAACAAAAAAAATAAAATCCAAGAAACCCCAAAGATTTATAACTGGAACTTTCACTTCCAAGAAAGCCAGTTGTGAAGTGTATGGATACTGAATGTTCACTAATGTATTATCCAAATTTACTGTTTCAAAAATGAGATACGCTTTGAAGCTTCAGAAGTTGACAGCCATTATCTTGAATGTCCAGATAAATTTTTAACTAGAAGCTAGGAGTTTTCTAGTAGCAAATTATTCCACAGGATTACTGTCATGGCCTAGGTGAAACACAACTGAAATCAAGAAGTGAAACTGAAAATGTTCCTAGTTATACATAATGTAACCCAGTAAGTTTCACCCTTTAAGGCCATATTAATGGAAATGCATAGTGTTAGATTTTTTAAAAAAAAAAAAGGATACCTACCCAACGCTCCATGGACCCCTTCTACAAATCAAAAAAACAAAGTTACATGAGCTGTAGAACACCAAACTCACCTGTCACTCTACTTCTAACTTATCTCAAAGGCATCTCTGCAGCACCCTACATAAAATGTGTCCTGCCCACAGCTTGGAAGGTTAGCATAATTGGAGGATGCGTAAATGCAACTATGGCCAAAGCACAGATACACCTGAGCTAATTTTAAATTAGCTAGCTTGTGTATCGGAAGTATTCTAGTTTATAGCAGCACTTGATTGCGTCTAAATTAATTTAACAACTTTTCTACGATTCTCAGCAAGCTTTTTTTTTTTTAAACCTCTGTTTCTCATGTAAAGCTAGTCCAGGTTTAATGCTAAAATTTCCAGAGTAGATTACACAGGCCTTGTTCAGAATATGACTTTTTACTGCAAGACGCTTTCCTTAAATAAATCAATCAAGAGCACTTTCACTGTTCTCAGCGATCACAACCGCAACAGAGGCATGAAGAATATAGGGTTATTTCAAGCAGCAAGGACTCAGTCTATTTAGTTCTTTATCGATTAAAGTCAACAACTTAAATTCAAACCAGAAAACAGCATCCAGCTAGTGAAGATTATACTGCTTCAGTTCATAGTCAAGCAAACTACAGCAATATCTTTTCACCAGAGAGAAGAAAATCTGTGTGTAACCACAGGAAGAAAATGGCTGGCACTTTACTGACACTTCAGGCAGCATACAATGCTTGCGCACTCAACATGGGTCAAAGACCAAGTGATGTGATGCAATCCAACAGCGGGAGGAAAGATCTCCCTGTCAATAAGCTGCCCAACGTTGACAGCTATATTATAGCTTATTTTGCAACACAGAGGTCAACTACCAAGGTTAATTTCCAAAGATGGCAAACATTTTCTCAATTGCAAAACAGAGGTTAAAAAAAAAGAAAAAAAGAAATGGCTTGCCTAGAATTGCAGAGGAACTCGGTGACACCCAGAGAACAGTCTGGAACAACGCTCAAAATCTGCTAATCAAAATCACTTTCCTAGGCTATCTCACTTTCCTAGGCTATCCATCTTCAGATGGCATTTCCAAAAGACAAAATGCTCCTGGGTGGTGTGCTGGGCCACCACACTGTGGGTTTTAAGTGTCTCTTGAAGTCTGCCACACAGATTTTGGGTACCCTTAACAAGGCATAACCTAGATGCATAGAAAACTTGGGACATACTCATTCTTTTCCCACACCAAGAACATTCAGGATGGTCCAGCAGAATGTTCCAATATGAATTTGGGAATCAAAACATAATGAGATGCTTTCCCTCCCTTTCAACAAAGTGTTTAGCAGTTCCCTTTCAAGCTCTTTTGATAAAAAGAAGTATTTCAGCTCTTCTGATCGAGGGAGAGCATTATTCAATACAAAACACAGCAAAAATGAAGTTCCAAAAGATGTAGGCAAAGAATAGGGTGCTACTATCTAACTCCTGAATTCCGTTTTTGGAAGTATAACAAGTGGGTCTTGATAACATTAGTATGGTGTTAAGAGAGCCTGCACTTAAAGAACGAGTATACTAGTAAACAACTTTTCTGTATTTAGTTTTGCTCTCAGACATCACAGGTAATATCTGCTATTATTTTTAGCTTCTGCATTACTTCTCAGTCCTGTTATGTTTTATATAAAAGAATGTAAAGAACAACAGAAGGCTTTCAGGATCGTTTGCTTGATGCCCAAAGTGAAAGGGAGGGGGCAGTCCATTTATGGGAAGTATTGAAGAGGGGCAATTTTCCAAAAAGACAACCATTGCAATCCAATCTTAAAATTCACATTTATTCTTGTTAGTTCTTTTCAAATGTCTCGAGGTAAAAGTAACATTCACATAACATATTAGAGGTTTTATGTATATATAGTAGAGATAGGAAAGTTTCTTTCTGTATTTTTTTTAAAGTCAAACTCACTTGCCACAGAGAGTTTGTTACCGTATTATCAACTTGGCTGAACTGGTACATTCATCAGTTACAGCAGACCAAATTCAGGAAAAGAGCACTAAGATCAGAAGAGTATTTATGGGGTTTCCATAGTTTTTGGTCTGCATCATCCATAAAAAAAAAAAATTATTCCAGACATAAAAACCTTTTTTTTTTTTTAAATCTACCTTGCAGCATAAAATAACATTTTTATTAACCACTGTTATGCATTGCAGATTTAATCAGTTCCTTCTATTTGGCTGTTTAACCATATAGGGTAAAATCCACCTACATAATGGTTACAGCACTTCAAATTTAGGATTTAATCCCATGCAATTAAAATGTTTAAAAAAATGTTCTCTCTTCATATATAGGGGTAAAAAAAAAGCTAGAAAAAGCAGGAAACAGTCCCATAAGGTGAGGTTTGCTAGCAGACTACTCCGCAGTGTACCACACACATAGGATGTACCTACTTTTTCAAACTGAAGGCATGTCAATTATCAAAACACAAACAAAAAATAATTTGTCTCACTTCACTCACCTATAGATGATAAAATTGAACATTTTACCAAAACAGGATGAAAAAAAGCAAATTTTCATAAACATTTAAGTGATTTGAAAGATATGTTTCATCTCCAAGAATTTCAAGTGAACAAGCTGAAAAAAAGTCTTCCAAAGTTACACAGTTCTTACCTACCTTGTCTTTCTTATCTTGCCTGGCATATGGAAAACATGGAATTACAGCAGTCACTCTGGAGGATGATGCAATCTTGCAAGCATTGATCATGATGAGCAGTTCCATTAAGTTGTCATTTATTTCTCCACAGCCACTCTGGATGATATACACATCTTCTCCTCTCACACTTTCACCAATCTCTACACTGAAAGAGCAGGAGATGACCATTTAAACACTTGAATTACTGGAAAAGCATTATTAAAGAATAGAAGAAACAGTTTTGTTTTAACAAACTTTCATAGGTTTATCCCCATTTAGGGTAAGATTTTTTTTTTTTTACAGCAATTTGGATAACCATCCCCTTGATAGAGTCTGTTGAAATATAAGCCAGTCTAAAATTTACTTCAGCCTAAATATGGTCTTCGTAAGGTCAGCACCGACCAATATGTAGTTATGGCTAGAGCACTGACGCAGCTCACACTGTTATTAAATTTGATACTGCTTTTTTTTGTTTAGTCTGTATTTTGTATCCTTGCCATCTCCCAAGGAGATGAACATTTAAAGAATAACCTAGATAAGTACAGAAACAACAGAGCCAACTTTAGAGCGTTAAATACTACCTGCATCAAAATACCTCCTTAAAAAGATCAATTATTTTTTTTACGATAATTAAGATGTTACTAAATTTGAGAAACTACTGCATTTTAGAAGATAGAAGTATCAAACCACACCCCACAAACAGAAGTCTGGATAAAATTTACACCATGATGTCCAAGTAAAGTATTTTTTTAAAAAAGAACAGCTCACCATGACTCAACAACTCTCACGTTGTGTCAGTTGTTCTATTTGCTCTAACTGTGCTTACATACTTTGGTTCCTTATGATAGTATCTAAGAGTTATTTTATTCTTCCACAGATTTCAAGGCAAATTCTGGAACTGATCACTGCTCACACCACAGAATTCAAAAATTAAATAGAGCTTTTAAATAGAGCTTATAAATAGACAAGTAAAACAAATCAGTTGAATGTGGATTCTTTTTCAATTCTAGCAAGAGAAATCTACTGTTGAACCACACTAACTTTTCACACCTGTTACTCCAAAACATACACATAAAACCATCAGACTAACCTTCATTTTCCCCTGAATCCATGCAAACATACAAGAAACATACAGACTTCCTAAACAATGAAGCGATCAGACCTTTCAAACCCATGCTCTACTAAGTTAGTCTTAATTATTAAACGATAAAACATCTTGGGCCCTAATTTAAAAGGTTGCATCTTTACCCAAGGCACAAATAAGCAAAAGCTTCTAGCTGGAAACCTTCCAAATGGCCCAGATGTGGGCAGAATAATTTATCTGATGGGTCCTTCAACACTGAGGCTTGTTCTAGACAAACACAATCTGAACAACTTTTGTTTATCAGCTTTCAGGGTGCTGTATAACACTCATTAGCTTTCTGTAGCTACAAAACACAGAAAGGAATTTACTGCTTAAAAACATCTTAATGATATGCAAACGTGATTTATTACCATCAAGATAGCTGAGTTCATGCTCTCAGCTCCCCTATTCAACTCCTGTGCAGCCCCAAACAAGCTATAAAAAGATCCTGTTTTAATTTTTCTCCTTAATTGAATGCATTTTTTGCCTAGGAATGCTACTAGTAGGATTTCTTAAGGCCAAAAGCAAGCAAACCATCTGGCAAACACCAGGATCTCTGGAAGGACAGAGGTGGTCAGAGACACTGTCATCTGCATGTATGTCGGTGTTAATCCAGGAAACCTTTTAGCGGCTTTCATCGTGGCACAAAGACACAATTTTTGGTCATAAAACTGTTACTTCCCTGTCCAAGTTTTTGATCAATGGAATAGGGCTGTTAAGAGAAAACTGTTTTGATCAAAATATTTTCTTAGTTTGTTTTCCTTTTTGAAACTGAAAAAGTTTTGGTCAACATAACTTAAGTTCAGCAAGACACTAAGCATATTCCGTAATTGGAAGAACTGGTCAGGCTTAATTAGAAGCCCTACCAAAACCAGTTCTGGTGTTAGAATATCAGAGTTCCACTTCCCAGAAGAATAAACAAAAACCAAATAAATAAATAAATAGAGAAACCTGTCATTGCTTCTGAACACACAAATCCAGCTCTGAGAAGAGCATCTACCCACTAGCTTATGGACGCAGCCTCAATCATCGTTATAGATTCATGGCTATTATTATGAGGGCTCTGAAAAATGATAATCGCCACTTGACTCGGCACTTACACAGACCTGCTTAATAACAAGCGTCATCACATACCACACCTTTGGAATAGGTCCAAAGAAGAGCACCACCATATGCAAAAGCTCTATGGCACCTCTTTCAACCCGAGACTGTGAAGTTCCACTCCGGAACTGGAAATTAACCTAGGAGCCATTACAAAGGAGAAGAAAGTAGAAAAAAGACTAAGAAGAAAACACCGTCAATTTTCAGGGAAGAACGTTACTGGAGTGACAAAGGAGGGCAGAATAAGATTTTAGTACCTGGGGGGGGGGGGAAGTAACCACTAGTTTTATAGACACATTATGTAATAGGAAAAAACTTTGCTGAATGACAAAAATATATGATCTTAGTGTTCATTATATATACAAACACCCAATTGTAACACTCGGAGTTGTTTTGCTCCTTTAAATAAGTCATTTCTAAGCACACTGCTACGGAATGACAGGTTTCAGAAGGTCAGGGGATATACTTTGAGATAAATATAGATCTGGTTAATACAATGGACCTGAAGTGATGCTTCTTCCATTGCCATTAACTAGTATCTTTTCAATGACCTTGGGCTATCAATAACTTTTTCATCTTGTAAACAACTTAGAAAATGAAAATGGTACTACTTTCTCTCTTGGTGCATTTGAAAAATTTTTGGTTATGCTTTTCAGGCCAGAATGACATACTTATTTGGCACATAGAAATGTGAATGTATGTGTGTATGTATATAGAAATACCTTTTCCAGTGGACACAGAAGTTATGTGCAGACTAACATAAATCAAGCCGAAATTAATACTTGCATAGCACTCAGGAGTAACCCAGTTAAAGGTGCCAGAGAATAGCGTAATGTAATTATTGCACAAAGATCTTCTCCCAAACAACTGGAGACAGCTGTGCAACAGATCAGTATCTCTTATTGTCTACTTTCTCAAAGATTGGTATGGCGAGGTGTTGTGTAGACTCAACCAACAGACACACAGCTGTCTACTTTACCTTCATTGAGCCACACAGTAAAAGATAACTAGTCATTGTGTTGCAAGTATTCCATCAGACATAGCCTGTACTAACCACATGGGGGGGGCTGTTGATTTTTTTGGGAGGCTGGTGGTTTGAGTTTGTCTGCTTTGGGGGGTGGGGGGGGTTGCCTGCCCACCCCACCCCCCCCTTTTTTTTTTTTTTTTTTTTTTTTTTTTTTTTTTTTTTTTTTTTTTTTTTTTTTTTTTTTTTTTTTTTTTTTTACACATTGAGCTATAAACAGGCAAACAATAAGAGATTATAAAATATAGAATCAGATATCTGAAGTATTGTACCTCAAATATCTATTAAAGAACACTAAGCTAACAGCAGCCAAACTTTGTGACAGTTATTAACATTACTACTAAACTCCACTTAGACCATCTATATCATGACGTAATTAACTGTTTGGGGGGTTATTTAAACAATTTCATAGAGTGAGGACACAGAGTAAGGACACAAGAACAAGCTCTTGCCTCAAGATTACAAGCTCTGTTTGTTTTATGCAATTTAATCAAATTCAGCTATTTGGTAACACTCAGTTTAAATAAACTTCTCATTCAAGAAGAGTCAACAGAACCTGTACATTAAAAGCCCTGACGCCACACAATTGTGTTTTAAAGTAAAAATTATAGAAATTAATAGCCCACATAACTGTATTTGAGCCAGTTGCTTGGAATCCACAAGCACAAGGCTCTAGCTGGGAAGATACACATAAGACAGGATATGATGAAAAACAAGTTTGAGTGTCGGTATCTGCCTTCATCTTGCAAAGGCTGATTTGAGTTCAATTTAGTAAGTAGAAACTTGGGTAGACTAATTACCATAAATTAAGGGCAAGACTCAAAACCCACTTACATTACAAACATATTTCAATGGCTGTCCATTAAGCAAAATTCAAAATCAGGAGTAACAGCAGGCTGAGCTCCTTCTGAGCTAGATTTATAGTACGCTCCCAACAGAACTTACAGCGATAGGAATTTTAAATTTGTACATCCTAACTAAAACAAACAGTTGTGGGGAAGCAGGGGAATAAGTATGCAGAGCCAGACTAAAATGGTAAATAATGTAAATCCATAACTAGGATCCTGTTCAAATCATGCACTTAAAAGGGCTCTATGTACCTTTTTAAATACTTACAACAGATTAAGTTTCTAGCCATGCTTACAAACAGTAAGATTTCTCAAGCAATGTAGGTGCCAATAAAGTAGATGTGTACTTCAGGCACTTTTAATAACCAAAGAGGCCAAAATTTAAGGTCTAGAGTCCTCATACAGTGTGCAAAAAGAATCGATATCTCAAAAGTGATCAAAAAAATCCGCATGCTGAATTTGCAATTCATTGAAACCCAGCCAATGGAAAGCACTAAGCAGAGGGGTGTGTTTGACCTCTTACCTTTGGGAACGCATTTTGCAGAGTAAAGTCTTTTAATGCAAGACCTCCAACTTACTGGGCAAATATTTCGACTGCCGTGATGTTACGTAACAAAGTGGGTACCAGCAAAGCCCAAAGCAACAAAGAAACAATAAAAATGCCAGAGTTGGTTTTAAGTCTATACAGGTATCCCATATCTCCCGGCACCCATGGTCTCCCCTCAAGTCTAGGCTCTTCCACTTTGATTAACAGCTCCAAGACCAACCCCCAACTAGATCTTCATTGACAACTGTCCTAATGGTGGACACTGGCATGGTAAGCACCACAAGACGGGAAATATCTTCTTACCCTCCACTCTGGCACACAGCCTGCCACCGCAAGAGGAAAACCACCTTTACTTGAGCAGCTCTGGGTTGAGCCACGTGCAGCCCAAAAGGAACCCTCAGAAATTTGGAAACAAAGGTATAACAAGCCTGACCATGTGCAGAGAGTCTTCAAATGCTGAGTACCAAACTCTGCAGCTAAGGACATGTGGGATCGTCAGCCATTATTCACACAGGTTGTT